ATCAGCCACATTAATTTCATGTCATCAACCTCTCTCTCTCTCTCTCCTCTCTCTCTCTGTCTGTCTCTCTCTCTCTCTCTCTCTCTCTGCGTCATAGAATTGTTAAATTAAATGTTAATTTATGATATTAAATTTATATATAATTTATGCTTTAAATAATGTAATGTAGATAATAGATAAAAGTGTGTGCACTGACATGGACGCAAAAAAATTTAAAAACAAAATCATTAGTGAATGAGAGTGAGAGAGATCTTTAGAGCAGGAGAAATGTATTTGTTTTAAAAATTGAATTTACATTAAAACTCAAAACTATTATTATGTTATTTTATTATTTTTATTTAAATAAAATGGAAAATGATTGATTTTATTAAAAGCATTAGTTTAATTTATAATATATTTTAATGTAAATTTCCCCTAATTATTAGTTTGTTTAGATTGTGTTTCAATAACTCTCTATTTATTTTATCACAAAATATAAATACAATGCCTTGAAATTGAAACCAGGTCGTCTAATAAGGTGATTAAGCTTTTTCTAATTTGCATTAAAGCTTCTTTCTAATTGAATAATAGGTTATTGAAATAAAACCCAAACAAAGGCTTATATTTGCGGAAGTAATGGCAAACTGTAATAAAAGATAGTAAGAGTGAGTGTTAATAGACTTACTTCTCCGCCATCGACAACACGTGCGGCACTTATAATATATAATTATAATCTAGTAAAAATTTGTTTGTATACTAAATGATGTGATTTGAATGGACGTACAGAACCTCACGGAGGGATTGCCCCTCGAATATGGAGTCATTCGAGTGTCAAGGCATGGGTTGACGATAGAGTGGAATTGGTTTGTGTGGCTCAGGCCTGGCCGTCACCGCAATACAGGTTTTGTTATGCTTTGCAATATTTATTAACACAAACGTATCAATCATTTAGAGATTTTTTGCTAAAAATACATTTCCTTTTCTCGATTCTAACATTCTTTTGGATTTGGTTGCCATACAATGCTTTCAACGCTATTGGCTTTGATTATCAATATGTGTCACATCTATGAGCAGATGGTATAAAGAAGATGAAAGCGGTCTCATATCGACAATTGTGTCGACACAACACATGCATATATACGACTCGTTTCTGATTATAAATCAGGTTATGTCCCATCATTCAGGCAAATGGATTTGTGCCGCGAATAACAGTGTCGGCGAAGAAAAAGTTAGCCTCAAATTGATGGTCATCTCGCCTATTGTGGTCCATATAGAGCCTGAATTATTGGTGGCAGACATGGGCAAAGGGGCCCAATTGAACTGCACTTTCACCGGCAATCCAATCAACTTTCATGTCATATGGCTTAAAGACGGCCGTCCATTAATCACCGATGCTTTCAGTGGTGCCATCAACGACGGCAGAGTCCGGCTCATCCAACCCACTCTACTCAGCATCAGGAATGTCATCAGAGAGGATGCCGGTGCGATATATGCTATATATACATTATATGCACACCTTTTATGCTTACAAACTCTATATTTTATTCAATTAAAAACTTATCGTTTGTTTAAAACAAAGTTTGTGTCAAAACAAGAGCCAATACTATAATACCCTTAAAGCATACTTTCTTGCATTACTGAGACTATTGATTTGAATGGAGTATAACTAAAACCCATGTAAAACACTGTTTGTTACAGAATTTGCATTTCCAAAGTCTGTTTGAATACAAATAGTGCCAAAGTTTGTAATTAAATCTCAATTTACATAAATATACATAATTTATATCGAAAAACATGTGTTTTATAAGGAATTTGAATATATTTTATGCTTCTATTATAAACTGATTCCTATAATTAGCGTCAGTTTTCTTTCATATTATAATAAAAGTCTCTTAACGTATAATATATTTAGTTTAGTTTTGATTTTGCTTTGCTTTGCTTTAGCTAAATATGACAATTCATTTAATGCAAGAATTAAAATAAATTTTATTTAATTCTCTTTTATAAACCTGAAAATTCAATTCAAAATATTTAGGGACTTTTAAATGACATTTATATAAATCCCTATAAATAAAATTAAACTTAAAATTTATTCGCTCCATTTTTAAGCAAGTACTCGAGTAATGGATATTTAAATAACTTCACAAAACTTGTTCACTCATACATTCATGTAACGATCGTTTATACAAAATACTGAATATTTAAATCTTTAATTAATAGTGTGGAGCAAGAAAATAATAAGAATAAGTTTGAGTAGAAAATTTGAGATTTGATTGAAATAAGTCTCCAATCGATTATCCATTAGTGCTTTCTTTTGCCTCAATAGTTATTGTTATCACAGATTTAAAGAGTGGAATCACTTTATAAATGAAAATTCTTTGCCGAACAATAGGTTGCTATCAATGTATAGTCCAAACGGAATACGATTCCTCACAAGCGAGCGCTCAATTGAAATTAGGCGACAGTCCGCCCATTATGTTGGAGACCTTCAAAGACCAGCTCATCGTCGAGTCGGCACAGTCTGTGTCATTAAGATGTGCCGCTTCTGCATCACCACTGCCGCAGATTAAGTGGTATTTGGATGAACACAGCATTAGCGGTGTGTCCGCCAGATATCGCATTGGAGATTATGTCACACATGGAGGACAAGTGATTAGTTTTGTTAATATAAGTGCCGCACGTGTTGTCGATGGCGGAGAAGTAAGTCTATTAACACTCACTCTTACTATCTTTTATTACAGTTTGCCATTACTTCCGCAAATATAAGCCTTTGTTTGGGTTTTATTTCAATAAATATAAGTGCCGCACGTGTTGTCGATGGCGGAGAAGTAAGTCTATTAACACTCACTCTTACTATCTTTTATTACAGTTTGCCATTACTTCCGCAAATATAAGCCTTTGTTTGGGTTTTATTTCAATAAGCTATTATTCAATTAGAAAGAAGCTTTAATGCAAATTAGAAAAAGCTTAATCACCTTATTAGACGACCTGGTTTCAATTTCAAGGCATTGTATTTATATTTTGTAATAAAATAAATAGAGAGTTATTGAAACACAATCTAAACAAACTAATAATTGGGGAAATTTCCATTAAAATATATTATAAATTAAACTAATGCTTTTAATAAAATCAATAATTTTCCATTTTATTTAAATAAAAATAATAACCCATAAAATAACAATAGTTTTGAGTTTTAATGTAAATTCAATTTTTAAAACAAATACATTTCTCCTGCTCTAAAGATCTCTCTCACTCTCATTCACTAATGATTTTGTTTTAAAATTTTTTTTGCGTCCATGTCAGTGCACACACTTTTATCTATTATCTACATTACATTATTTAAAGCATAAATTATATATAAATTTAATATCATAAATTAGCATTTAATTTAACAATTCTATAACGCAGAGAGAGAGAGAGAGAGAGAGAGAGAGTAGAGTAGAGAGGTTGATGACATGAAATTAATGTGGCTGATTTGTCATTTGTGTGTTTATGAAGTATCGCTGTGTGGCGGTTAACGTTGCGGGTCAGGCCTCGTTCACAGGCAGAGTGAATGTGTTGGGATCGGCAGTACTTCGCACATCATGGCTGTCATCTTCATCTTCGCCAACAAATATTAATAACACACTGACTGTAGTGTCTGGTCGTTCAATATCAGTGCGCTGTCCAGTCATTGCATATCCCATTGAATCACTTGTATGGCAACACAACTCAAACACATTACCAGTCAATCACCGCCAGAAAATCGAGCCAATCATTAACGGTGTCGGCGGTAAACTACATATCAATAATGTTCATCGCAATAATGACCAGGGAGAGTACTGGTGTATTGTCAAGGTATGCCTTTTACGCGTATAATCAACTTATTATTGATTAAGTTACTTATGATTAGTTATATTTATTACTGTATTAAGAATCGTACAATTATTTTATCAAATAAAATGCAATACAAATAACACAGTAATAACATAACAGTGTTGGTAATAATCAGGAGTTATCGGGATATTTTCAAGACAATTTCTGTTTGGTTTTGATACAACACAGAGACAAATAAAGTCTGAATAATTTGCGATTACTTCCCAATACTGAGAATACGATACATTTGATACAATATAAGTTGAATAAATCGTTGCATTCGTGTCAGGAATAAAACGTTCAAATTATATCTGATTGAAAGCAACAAATTCTATGTATAGTAACGGATGTGAACAACACTACCGTATAGTTCGTGGAATACATTGCCAACCAATTGCTGTCTTATATCTTAAGGGATTAGACTTCTTATGAATTTGTTTTCTTTTCGGCACGAAATGCGACAAAAACTCGAAATAACAATAAAATAATAACTTAAATAAATGTTTTTATGCATTAACTCATACATTGTATGGCATCAAATTGTGACCATTTCAGCAAAAGTGAGGCAAAACAAAGATACTTTAAAGTTTAGATACGTTTAGACATTATACAATTCCTATTCAAAATACTATAATTACAAGATTGCTTTGTACAGTATAAGGAATAGAGCTTTTATTTTATAACTTATAATAATAATAAAAGTTTTTATTTAGGCAACAGATATATTGTAAAGTATTTAAACTAAATTTTGCAAATTGATACTGTATCACTTTCACTGCAAAAGTTTGAGAATTTATTTTAAAAATATTTTACAAACAATTTGTATTGCAATCGGTAATTAGTTTAATACCATTAATTAAAATTGGTTTTTTGCAAATTATTTTCTTAATTATAATTCCCCAAAATTGAGGCCAACTTTTATTAGATGTTTGTATTAGATTAGTGTTTGGTATTCATTAGTGCTTTCAATAGATTAATTGTGTTAAGATATCAATGACATCAGTATTTTTTGTTGCTATAAGGGCTCTAATGGTAAGGCAGTAAAGGGAAGCATTCATTTGATTGTAAAAGTCGCGCCTTTAATTGATGGACAGCCACTATCGGAGACGACTAAAGCTAATCAAGGGATGAAAGTGAAGTTAATGTGCTCTATATTAGAAGGCGATCCTCCCATACAAATCAAGTGGTATAGGGAGGACTCAAATGCTCCCGTCGTCTCCAGTCATAGCATTTCGCTTCAAAATTCTGAAGACTATTCACTTTTGACATTCAAAAGTGTAGAGCACAAGGATATGGGCCACTGGTATGGCTCGCAAACAAAACACAATTATTTATGAATTTACTTATAATGCTCTACTTTATGGTGTTATCTAATTAAAGGACATGTAAGGCCTGGAATGATGTCGAGTCAGTCAATCGGAGCACATATCTGACTGTCAATGTGGCCCCGGCCTGGAAACAGGAGCCTAAAAATACTTATGTAGTTCTGGGAGCGGATTGTGTGATTGATTGCTGGGCTGATGGATCTCCGGTCCCGAAAATCTTGTGGAAGAAATCAATCTCCACGAGCACTGGCACTGATCTATTGGCTGACGCGGAACATCCGTCCGAGTTTAGGGAAGTGGTCTCATCCTATAGACATCAGGTCTACCAAAACGGCACTTTTGTCTTACAAGAGGCCGATAAATCTGACGGCGGCTACTATATGTGCCAAGTATTGCATACTTTCATTAATTATAGCTTATAAAGCAATTGATTTCTTATTGTTATCAATTGATAGATTATGTTCATTAATGTTAGCAAGCTTATTTTTATAAATTGATAGATATCTAAATTTGTACTCAATCATTAGTCACTGTATTTAATTAATTGAACATTTAATTATTTAATTAATAGATTTCCAACGGAATCGGCGCCGGTTTGAGTAAAGTTATCCAATTGATAGTACAGTCGCCGCCATATTTCGACATTAAATTCATAAGTAATAGTGTGGTTAAGAGCGAAACAGCTGTACTTCAATGCGAAGCACAGGGAGATCCGGTGCTGAGAGTGGAGTGGCAGAAAGATAAACAACAAATCAGTTCATTAATCGACAAAAGATATTCAATAAAACAGGAAATAATATCTCCGCAGAAAGTGATCTCATATTTGGAAATATCATCCACTGTTAGACACGATTCAGCTCTCTATACGTGTTTGGTTTCCAACGACTTCGGCACCGATGACACCAACATTCAGCTTATAGTTCAGGGTATGCATAGACTAATCATCCCTTTCCTTGGCTTTACTACACAAGCAATAATAGATTATATATTTAGTTATCGATTTGGAGCGGAATTTCTCTTTAGTTTAATTACAAATTAATGGCGCGAATAATCATATAATTGACTGCTTTTTACTCCTATTTCTTTTGGCTGGAAAAAATTATGTTTAAAACAAAAACACGATTTTACGCATCGATTGCTTTGGCTGTAGACTCTATTTATTTAAAATTATTTCAACCATTTATTTATGCAGAGGTTCCGGAGCCTCCCTATGGACTGACGGTCACTGAGATCTCGAGCCGCAGTGCAGTCATTACGTGGAAGTCATCGTTTTCAGGCAATAGTGCTATCATTAGATTTATATTAGAGTACAGAACCAATTGCAGTGATGACCAGATCTGGCAGGAGGTGTCAACGCTAACCTCCAGTGACTCCAGACTTAATTTGCGAGCTTTAAGACCCGTTTGTTATTATGAAATCCGTATGTATGCGGAAAATGCATTGGGAAGGAGTGACTCCAGTTCCTCGACACTAGTCTTCCAAACGGTTGAAGAAGTTCCGGGCGGTCCGCCCACTGATGTCATCATTGAGACCACTTCATCGACATCTTTGAAGATTAAATGGAAACCCCCTCTAAAAGAAGTGCAATTCGGAAAAATGAAAGGATATTATATCGGATATAAAATAGCAGATTCTGACGAACCGTTTCAGTACAAGAATGTCGATATCAATGGTGATAACGACTCGAATAAATTCGAGACCAGTTATGTGACAAATCTGAAGCGAAAGACCACTTATATTCTGGTATTGCAGGCGTATAACAGTGTGGGTGCCGGTCCTCGATCTGATGAAGTATTTACTTTCTATACCTATCCTCTCAATAAAATTCAATACAATGTAAATCTTTTTCATAAATAATAAAATTATTTTAATTTTTGTTTGACTTGAGGTACGAGTGGTTACGTTTGACTCTCAACCGCCAACCTCTCCACTCCTGGAAGTGATCGCAACTACTTTTGATTCAATTACTCTCAGATGGGATGCAAATCAAAATGATATCATCGAAGAGAGAGAATATGTATTGCATTTCAAAGAAGATCGCGAACAACAGTGGCATCAGAAGAAACTGAGGACTAAATCAAATCAATATGCTTTAGATTCGAGTAATGGTTTAGTGAGCATACGGTGCGGCACTAAATATAAACTATTTATGACGGCTTCCAATAGCTTAGGAACTGGAGAACCGAGTAAATGAAATCATTACTAATTTATTAATACAAAATATATATTTCAATTGACTTATGGTATGTACTGTATGTTTAGGCGAGACAATAAGCGCCAGAACTAAAGGTGCGGCCCCTCTATCGCCATCCACTCAAGAGTTTGTGATCCCCAACTCAACCATCGCTCTCCTGAGGCTAAGCAGTTGGCAGACCGGCGGCTGTCCTATCAAATCGTTTAGCTTTAAATTTAAGCCCATTTATCAGAAACAATGGATTATATTATCAGATGAAGTGGTCTTTGAAAAGGACTTCTATTTTATTCGCGATTTAGTGCCCAATAAAGACTACAAACTCTTAGTGAGCGCTCATTCAGACGCAGGTATTCATGATTTGATAGATTGCTTGTTGAGTTGACTTTTTTAATAATTAATGTCTTAAGGTGTGACTGAAGCTGAGTATAACTTCAAGACCCTGAACATATCGCTAGTGGTTCGAGTTGTGTCACCACAGGCTCCGGTCGATGCCTCGGCTCAGGCAGAGTCACTGTCGCTGTTTCGCAACATAACAGTCCTCTTACCAGTGATTATCTCAATCATAGTATTGTGTGTGATATTAGGCACACTATTGGGTTGTATGCGTCGACAGCACGTGAATCAAGTGGTGAATGGTATGAATGGTATGAACGGAATCAACTCCAATAACTGTATCCATAAGACAGACTTAAGACAATCGACTGAAACGTTTCAATTGAATGACTTTCAATGCGGATCTAAACCCAAGTTCATTGACTGTCAGTCGCCGCCAAATACTAAGAGTTATATGAATTCAACGTCTTATTACTCATCGCCTCATCGAAAGTCATTGACGGCAATGATTGGACACCAGAGGAGTGGTGATCACGAATACGCAGAACCCTTGACCCAAATGGCCAGTCGGTGTGTCTTCGCCGATGACCTCAACTGCGCTAATGTCTCCACTACTGTCCAAATGCCCGACAAAATGTACGCCACTATTAAGAGGAGTCCTCCCATTGCCTTCACATGACATCCAACTCTTATCTAATTATCTGTAATATTATATGTTATATAATACTCTATGTTATCAAACTTTTTATATCAAACAAATCGTTTTGAATACAAGTCTTTGTTATTTATATTTATTAATTAACAAATTTGTGATATTATTAAAGCTCAAATCAAAACAATTTTGATTCTTTTGTATGTTTCAAATTAATAAATAAATACAATTTTATATATATATGATTTCAATCAATTTTTAAGTATTCAAAAACACTTGAATTCAATTAACAGGTACTCTTAATAACACTTATAACTACTTTCAGTACTTTGCACTGTCTTGAATTGTACTTTAAATTATCCCAATACTAATATTACATAGGTGAGCTTAGTTACAGTAAATTATTATAAGTTATTTAGTACATAATATCTCTTATACGTAATGTATTTTTCAAATAGGATCTCCTTTGGTAAGTGAAGGTATTTAATTGACCTTCAATAGTAATCTAGATTTAATGAAATATGTTTGTTCACAATAATATTATTAGTACTATTCTTTTTAATAACAGTAAATAGTAAGAGAACCTTTCTAAATTTATCCTGTACAGATATCGGATCATCTTATTTGAGTTAGTTATAGGAACAATTAATTTTAAGATTTAATACATTTTTCTTAATAAATTCATTAAATATACTTGCAAAAATAATGTATAACTTAAATTATATACTTTATATCTTGATTAAAATAAACTAAATACTTTTGCTAATTTTATATTTTATAGTAATAATATAAAACATTAGATTTCTAAAATTATAAAGTACAGGTATTATGTAGATAACAATATTTAAAATAAATAATTAAAGAGATTAATTTAATTAAAACCAAATACAATAATCATTAGCATATCATTAAAACATATTTTGAAATAAACGAAACTAAAACTCAAAATCTCAAACAATAGTTTAAAAAATACTGATTAATAATTAGTGACTATATTATTCAGTAATCAAAAAATAATTGTGCATTACGTTCATTAAAATTATCATTCTTGAGCTTTTAAAAAATAATCTTTCAGTACATTTATTATTATTTGATTAAAATAATATTACACAAGAAATACGTGGGATATTATTCACTTGTAAAATAAATAAGAATATATAAAATAGACTAACTTTAACAAAGTAGACTCAGTGACTAATAAGAAAAAGTTTTGAAAAAACATTAATTAAAATGCTGTTCAAAACCGTCTTAATAGCATTGCTACCATTGGTTGCATTTGCATCGCAAGAATATTTCAATGATATTCAAAACGCTGTAAATGATGTCAAACTGAGACAATTGCAAAGACAATCGGAGGACCCGAAAGAGGTGTGCTATCCAGACATCGGTTGTTTCTCAACTGACGGTCCCCTCAAACATCTGGGAACACTTCCAGCCTCTCCTGAAGACATTGACACCAAATTCTATGTCTATACGACTAAATCTGCCGCAACTCCACAAGAAGTCAGTCCTAAAGATGCCAAAAGTCTGGCACTAATAGATGCGACCAAACCATTGGCCATCATATCCCATGGCTTTGGAAATAATGGAAAGACACCTGAGCTGATTGCCATCAAGGACTCATTGATTAAGTATGGTCACGTAGAAAGCGTGATAATGGTTGATTGGAGTAAAGGTGCAAAACAGCCCCTGTATGTCGAGGCTTCTACTAACACTCAGGTAGTCGGCCGTCAAATTGCATTCCTCACAGAAACTCTTAGAACCAAACATAATGTCGATCCCAAAAATGTGCACTTAATTGGCTTCAGTTTGGGGGCACAGGTATCAGGTTTTGCCGGAAAGTTCTCGCAAACCCAATACAAGTGGAAATTTGGTCGCATTTCCGGTCAGTTTTCACTTATAATTATTTGACTGTCTTTTAAGTGACTAAACTCTAAACTATGTATAATATAATATGCTCTGGACACAATTAACTTAATATTAGCTCTGGACTCGGCCGCACCCCTATTTGAGGGCTATCCGGGCGCTTACCTGAACCAAGACGACGGCATATACGTGGACGCCATCCACTCCAGTGCCGGACACCTCATCATAACGGGAGAGGTAGGCTTCATAGAGCCCATCGGTCACGTGGACTTCTTCCCGCACAACGGCACACATCAGCCCCGATGCTCTCAACTCAATGAAACCATTCATATCTCATGTAATCACTACTCATCCGTCTTATACTTCGAGGCCTCCCTCAGCGGTGGAGACCATTGTATGTTCACTGCATATAAGTGCACCAATTGGACGGACTTTGAGGACAAGAAATGCGCCAAAAATGCCGACCAGAGACTCGGCTTCTACAGCACCACTCAAACCGGAAAAGGGGTTCAGTATTTGGATGTCAATAAAGCCTATC